TTAACACCCTATTCTATTTTTCTACATTTATATATATATATATATATAGTAATACTTTTTATGTGTACACTATATATTTTCCTTGTGTAATTTTCTATATACACATTTCAAGAGTTTATTCAATGTAAGCAACAGTCGATTTGAAAAAAATTAGTAACTGTTGAGGTCAACTATAAAATAATATATAGTAAATCTTGTATACGCAAATATCTAGCATAAATAATAGTTAATCTAGTATAATTCTCTGGAGTCAACTGATTCTAGCCCATCATTAAATTTTACCCAGCATCATCAAGCTGGTTCGATAGTGTTTTTTTCAAATAATGAAAACAGCGCGAACTAGTCATGTCAGACAAGAATGTTAGGCAATTCTTTTGTCAAGTACAATATTGCGTAGATACATTCAATGTTTTTAAACATATAAAAGAGTCTGAACCGGTCAAGGGTTTTACACAACGTGCAACAAAAGTAGAACTGGTCATGTTGATCCTGAGACATGTTGTGAGATAAAGTTTCATGAAGCCAACGCACTAAAAACAAACTAGAATTTTAAATTACAAAAAAATTTAATTATAATTTCGAATAATGCAAAATTTAACGCGCTACATTTGTCAGGAATGGTAGTGACAAGGTCTATATTTGTCGCACGTCGCGCAAAACACTTGACTGGTTCAGACTCCTTTCTATGTTAAAAAAACATTCAATATATTTACGCATTATTGTACTTGACAGAAGAATTCTATTCTTCGATTCTTCATTCTTTTATTCTTCCTAACATTCTGTATTCACTGTTGTACGTGACAGAAGAAATGCCTAACATTCTTGATACACTGTTGTACCCGACAGGCGAATTGACTATCAGTGTACTTTGCTGGAGAGAAATTCGGCCTACTAATATTTCTAATATTATATTACTGAAGAGAATTTACTAATATTCTTCACCACACTCTTGTACTTGACATGCGAATTGACTATCAGTGTACTTTGCTGGAGAGAAGTTACTAACATTATACATTTTTCTAAAATTACTAATTATTATTTTTTCGTCACACTCTGTACTTGGCAGGAGATGCG